AACAACAACAACAACATAGGGTCGCTATGAGTTGGAATTGACTCGATGGCAGTGAATTTAGTTCGGTTTTTGGTACATTTCAAACTTCCTATAATGAGCATTAGGGAGAAAAAAAAAAAAAAGCTGCCCTTGAGTCAACTCCAATTCATGGTGACCTCATGTGTCAGAGTAGAATTGTACTCCATGGGGTTTTCAGTGGCTGATAGTTTGGAAATTGTTCACTAGGACTTTGTCTGAGTGGACTTGAACCTTCAAACTTTTGGTTTAACAGCCAAGCATGTTAACAGTTTGCACCACCCAGGGATAGCAAACTATAATGAGCATACTTGGGGAAACAAGAAGTAGAGAAAGGAAAGAAGGAAGGAAGGAAGAAAAGAGAAATGTAAACACAAAAAGAAGATGGGAAAAAAGAGTAGAGGCCTTAGGACGGAGGCTTCTGACATTGCTGCCAAACCCCTTCTCCCAAGAGCACATATAAACACATGCATATGTGCACACACACACACTATGCACACACATTCCCTGAATGAGAATTACCTCTCCTGACAAGGACCTGGGATCTCAGCTCTACCAGCAGGGAGGTCTTTTGGCCAGAGACTTGCATCTTGGACAGCCTCTCCTTCATGTCGCTAATGTTGCTGTGCAGCCCCCAGGCATTGCAGAGCTTGGGCAGACTGTCTTCCTGGTCTGCCAGCAAGGGGCCCTCCAGAGCATCCAAGGGGCAGAATGCCATCTGCAATGCGGAAACAGTGTTCAGAAATGTCAAGAAGAGAGGGGCCCCTAATCGGAGCCCCAGAGCCCAAGGCCTAGCCCTGCCCTTGTGAGGACACTGCTGCCTGCACCTCACAGGTGCCTAGCCCAAACACAGGGTGAGAAATAGACGTGGGAGGTGACCCTGAGGCCAGGTTGCCAGCTGACTTTTCTTAGGTTGTCCTTTATTTTGAAATTATGCTCACTTGCTCTCTTTTTTTTTTTTTTTAGCAATAGTGTCTTGTTTGTTTGTTTGTAATGAAACAGTGGTATTTGTTTTATCTGAAAGTCCTTAGAAAAATTAAACTTGGGAGCCCAAAAATCATTTTTGAAATTTTCCTGGCCAATGAAATTCAGGAGTCACTGAAATGGCAGCTTCTCACCTGTGCAGAGGAGGAATCACTGAAATAATCCAGCTATTCATGTTCAGAGGAAGAAGTGGAGACCAGACGGAGAGGATTTGACTGAAGCTGCTTATCTGAAGCATTGGTACAGGGCTGTGGTTGTCATATTGTTAGATGCTGTCAAGTCGGATCCGACTCACAGCGACCCTATGTCCAACAGTTCGAAACACTGCCTCGTCCCGCACCAGCCTCACAAAGGTCGTTGTGCCTGAGCCCACTGTTGCAGCCGCTGTGTCACTCCATCTTGTTGAGAGTCTTCCTCTTTTTCGCTGACTCTGCTTTTCCAAGCATGATGTCCTTTTCCTAAGACTGGTCTCTCCTGATAAGATGTCCAAAGTACACGAAACCAAGTCTTGCCATCATCCGTTCTAAGAAGCATTCTGGCTGTACTTCTCAGATGGAGATTTGTTCATTTTCTGGCAGCCCATGGTATAGTCAGTACTCTTCACTAGCAGCATAATTCGAATGCAAAATTCTTTGTGCATTTGTGGTTAGAGCAGGGCTTCTATCTGAGCCAGACCTGGGTTTGAATCATGGCTGAGTTCCTCCCATTTGCTATGTGACCTGGGACAAGTGTCTTTAGCTTCCTACATTTTAGTTCTTCATTTTCAAACTGTGGTCAAAAACTCTAATTACCATTTAGGGTTACTTCTGAAGATTACATGAGGGAACATCTATAACGTGCCTGGCACACAGAAAATTTTTACAGTTGTGGCCTATCATTATTATTTTGGGCCAGTGGTTCTCAAAATGTGGTCTGTGAACCCCTAGGGGTCACTGAGACTTTTTTTTTTTTTTTTTACCTCCTGGTTCCACTGAAAAGTGGAGTCCACTCAAAGTATAAGAGACCAATGGTTTTTGGATTTTAATGTGACCTACTATGAAAAGTCCATGGATATGGTCAGAGTTTCCACATTGCATCTAACCTTTAAGTAAATACCATTTGTCAAATTTTGGTGTGGTAGCCAAGAAAAAATTTTCACAATGATCTGAAAAGGCTTATAAAATATTCCTCTCTTTTCCAATTATATAACTGTGTGAGGCTAGATTTTCTTAATGTACTTCAGTCAAAACTGTATATCACAACAGATTGACTGCAGTAGCAGATATGAGAGTCCAGCTCTTTCCATTAGGCCATACATTAAAAAGATTTGCAAAAACATAAAAACAATGCTGCCCTTCTTACAAAAAGTTTTTTGTTTCGTTTTGGGAAATACAGTTTTTTTTTCATAAATTTATGTTATTTATGGTAACAAGGGGAGCTCTGATGGTATAGTGCCTAAGGCATTTGACTGCTAACCAGAAGGCTGGTGGTTCAAACCCACCAGACACTCCTCAGAAAGAAGATGGGGCAATCTACTTCTATAGAGATACTGCCTCGGAAACCCAAAGAGGGGTCGCTATGAGTCGGATCTGACTCAACAGCAGTGAGTTTGGTTTGGTTTGGTTTGATGGTAACAAGTAATGGGTTCATTATTTTATTTTAAAATGAATTAATAAATACATATTTAAATTTTTTCTTACTGTTAATTTCTAATAAGGTAAATATCAACAGATATAATTCATATAAACAAATTCTTTGGGGTTCTCAATGATTTTTAAGAGGGTAACAGTGTCCTGCGACCAAAACATTTGAGAACCACTGTTTTTGGAGAAGACCTGGCTAAGTGATGTCGACAGGTTCCAGAGCCTTCCCCAAACTAGTCATGCCCTTCTGCCTGGCCTCAACTGCCCCACCCATGGCTCTTCAAGGAGGACTCACCCATGCTATCAGGGTGTGGCTGTGGAGGGTGGATAAATATCGAGAACTTAATGCTAAACTTCTGCCTTCCCTGGTCCTACTCTGCCCATTGCAGAGGTCAAGGTGGGAGCAGTGCATTATTGCTCAGGCAGTGAGCCATGGAAAGGCCCAAGGGGCACTGGTTATAATAGGAAGCTTCCTGCACAATCCAGGAACGCATCAACCAACACACAACTGGGCCCAGAGTAGCTTCCCAGAGTGCCTCACCAGGAACTTGGCTGGCTGGTTGTTCTTGGTGTACTTGTAGAGCCTGCGAAGCTGCTTCGCCTCCAGTTCAGAGAAGAGGGAGACAAATCGCCAAAGCATCCTGTAGAGAATGGCGACAGACCTGAGCCTGAGGGAGGTGGAGAACAGCTCCTCTCCCTTCTGCATTTGTCCTGTGACCAGGACCCACCCAGGGAGAAATGAGCCACATGCTGCCTGCTTGGTTTTTGGTTAGAGGGATGGAGAGGTAAGGATCTGCCAGACCTTTCTGTACTCGAACACCCTGTACTCATGACCAGCATCCACACAAAGAAGGTGATCAATCAGAATTCATTGTCTTTAGAGTTCCCAAGCACTCTTTGTCCACTGTGTGTATAGCTAAGGACCAGTCAACGCTGCTCTAAGTAACTAGAGGCACCTTGTTCTTTCCATTCCCTCTTCCCCACACACACACCCCCAGATCCTGACTCCTCCACATAAAGATGAAGAATTGTGAGATCCTGATTGGGGTGTGACCTTGAGAGGAGAGAAGGTGGCCCACAAGAAGGTGTGGGGGGAAGGGCAAGGAAGCTGTCTTACTTCTTCCAGTGCTTGATTTCCCAGGATCTGCAGTAGTGCTGCAGAAAGGTATTGATGTGGTCCCCTAGGACCACCAGGCTCTGCTTCATGTACTTCAGCTTCTTTTTCTGGGGAAGGTCCTTGGGCAGGTGCAGCTTTCTCAGGAATTTCTTCAGAGGCCTTAGGTATTCTTTACACTGAGGAGGCAACAGGTAAGAAGAGGAATCATGGGAGAAAAGAAAAGGTAGATGGACAGACCCAAGTAACTAGGTAACCAGGAGAGTCCAGCCCCTTTGGCCCAGAAATGATTATATGTCTTGGGTGAGAAGGCTACACCCAACTGCCACCCAATTCCCTTCCCAAGAGTTTGACAAATGGGGTTATGAGCTGTGGGTCTGAGATCTGCCAACTCCTGACCCAGGTCTCCTGAACCAAGGGAATAGAGGAGTGGGGCCAGGGCTGGCCTCTCACTCACAATTTTGAAGGTGTCCTGATCCAGGCCCTTGGCGTGGTGCACAAGTGAGTCTCCAGCAGTGAGGGTGCAGGAGATCCTTTCCAGTGCAGACACCTGGGACAGGACAGAAGTCAGCAGTCAGCTGGGGGGGTTGGGCCATTGCTCATAAGCAGCTTTGCTGACCCAAATGCCAACCAAAGTCCTCCAGTTTTCCTATGACCTCTTCTTGGACCTAGCATTGACATGACTAAGTCCTGGATGAAAAATCTATCTCTGAAAATCTCCACTTAGAAAACCTAGAATGTCCTATCCATTTCTTTTATAATAATCATAGCATATTATACTAGCTAACTTTGTGAAGCACTTGATAAATATTAATTCATTTTATTCTCCTACAATTCTATGAGGTTAGATATCATTGTCCCTGTTTACAGACACAAGGTGCCAAAAGATTTAAGTGACTCCTTGAGGACTGAAGGAGCAGAGATTAATTTGTCATTCATTCAGCAAATATTATATTGAGTGCCTAAGTTCCAGGTAAAACTCTGGTAGCATAGTGTCTAAGGCATTTGACTGCTAACCAGAAGGTTGATGGTTCAAACCCACCAGCCGCTCCATGGAGGGAAGATGAGGCAACCTACTTCTGTGAAAATTTACTGCCTTGGAAACCAAATGGGGGTCGCTATGAGCTGGAATTGACTCAATGGCAGTGAATTTTGGTTTTTAAGTTCCAGGTGAAGGAGACTTGATAGTACAGTGGTTAAGGGCTCAGCTGCTAACCAAAAGATTAGTAGTTCAAACCTACTGGCTGCTCTATGGGAGAAAGATGTAGCAGTTTGCTTCCGTAAAGATCACAGCCTTGGAAACCTTATGGGGCAGTTCTACTCTGTAGAACTATAGGGTCGCTATGAGTTGGAATTGACTCAATGACAATGAGGTTTTTTTTTTTTTTGGTTTTTGGTTAAGTCTCAGGTTCACCCTTTTACGTACCTATTATTTAGCATCATGCCATGCATCTAATAAAAACCAAACCAAACTCACTGCCATCGAGTTGATTCTGACTCATAGTGATGACCCTCATTGGGTTTCCGAGGCTGTCAATCTTCACAGAAGTAGATCACCCCATCTTCCTTCCATGAAGCAGCTAGTGGGTTATGAACTGCTGACCTTCTAGTTAGCAGCCAAATGCCTTATCCACTACCACCAGAGCTCCTTATGCTTCTAATGCGCACTCAGAAAAAATGTGTGATGGTGATGGTGATGATGATAACAAGTTTTTTGACAGCAAAACTGGGGCAAATAAATTGGAAATTAATGGAGACAGACACTGTGAAATAATACAGAAATAATACTCTAATCAGAGTGCAGGATTAGACTAATACAACTGGATTTCGATTAATACAACTCATCTTTCAGAAGCCTCTCTGAAAAGTGAGCACTAATTTCCACCTGTGTTCAGTGGTAACTATGAAGATCCAGGCTTACATCCCTCTAAGGGGAAAGACCTGGGAAAGAGGAGGGAGGTGGATAGAGAGAAGAGTGTATGGAACACCTTCTTCAGGCACAAGAGAGAGGAGACTCAGCTTGTTCAAGTCCATAAACCACAGACACCCCACAAACCACATGCACCGACAATAACACACACACAACATACACACAAAAGAGCCCTTGTGACTTTGTAGCCAACCATAAGATAGGACCTCTTCTCATCATCTTGCCAGGAATATATATCCTTGATAAATATCTGTTTGAATAGATTAATCTTCCCTTACTCTCAGGCCTCTTGCTAACTCATGGACCCCACCGATTTTCCTTCTTCTCTTCCTCCTTGAGTTGCATGCTCTCTGCTTTCTGAAACCAGATGCTTACTGACTCTCCCTCCATCCTTCCCTCACACCTTCAGCCCCATTTCACCTTCTCTAGTGGCTTGTCCCCTACACCCCCTTGTCCAACTGAAGCCTCCATCTCCACAGGTGGACTGGTGGGCTCCAGGGTGGCACTCCTCATGTCCCCTCGGGCTTCTGTGACCTGATATCTCAGGGAGTGGGTAAATTGGCTCCAGAACACAGAGCAAAACCATGGCAACTGCCGACAGAGGGCCCAGCCCCTCTCCCTCCCATATCCTCATTCCTAGGGGTGGCCATCAGTTGTCCCCTTCAGCTGAGAACTGGACTAGGCAGAGGTGCTGCTGGGTGGATCCAGGATTTTGTCAGAGCTCACAGCTGGTCAGAGGGGGCTGGGGAACCTTCTCCAAAGAGAATTGTCAGATGCTGTTAATTTTGAACCCTGGTAAGGATTCAGAAGTAATTTTCCCGTGTGTATACCATTCCTGCCTCCTTAGCTACACAGTGGGCTCCCTGAGTGTGAGAACCAGGATTCCTAACGTTCCTTTCTGGATTTGGGTTAAAGGACTAGAGGGTGCACTGAAGGAGAATGGAATACAGTAAACCTTTCTTGACATCTCCTCTTCTATTCTCTAGCCTTCGGGAAGTTAATAAACCCGTTGTGCTGGTTGTTGTAGAGTTCAGTTGTCTTTAAGGGTGGCATGTACCAAAAAAAAAAAAAAAAAAAAACAGCCCTGATGTGTGATGTCAATTAATCCTCACAACAGTCTTCCTTGGAGTAGATGCCAGTAGAAATTGAATTTCACAGAGCGGAGCCGAGACGCATGGTGGCCCTGGCACTTGGTTAGATTCACGGTCACGAACTGGGACCTGGGGGTTACCTACGCCTGATTCCGACAATTCTGATTTTTGCCACCGGCACAGCCCTTTGGGGATCCGAGACAGCGCGAGGACTCGGCGGTCGGCCAGGTACCGCTGTTTGACTCACCTGGCCGGGAGGCAAACGGATACACCAGGTCCAAGCCTTACCCCTGTCCCCTAACTCAGCAGAGGTGTCTCCCCGCGTCCTTCCTTAACACGCACGGCCGGTTCTGGACGGTGATAAAGACCGTTACGCCTCAGTTTACTAAGTTACCCCACATTTTCTTCCCTAGAATGCGGAACTCCAGCTCCTGGCACACGCCTTCTTGTCCTCAGGCCTGAGGCTCAGTTTTTCTCCCGCCCAGTTTGACCCCACTCCTCTACTCCCTTCGCGGGCACCGAGTTAGACAGCCGCAGCCAACGGAACCCGGCCTTGGGTCGCGAAGCTTGGTCGTCGCAGAGCTCTCCCTTGCCATCTAGCGACGGTATGGGTACATGACAGGGACATTGAGGCGCTGGGTTGCTTTCTCGCAGACGGACCCCGCCTGTGCCTGGGGTTGGAGGGTTCCCTTTGAGTCGGGGATTCTTTTCAACTAGTTACCTATGCCATCATGTTTAGCTAATGTCATTAGTTTCTTTGAAGAGGAATAAAAGTTCCCACTTCTCTACCTCCAGACTGGAAGATAGGTCTGTGAGCATTCATTCAGGGTTACTATGCAGCTATGAAGGATAATCATGTTAGCAAGAGTGAGGGGAATCGGTCCCTCTTACACATTTCTATCGGGAGTGATCCTTGGTAAGCAATGTATTTCAAAATGTCAAGTGAGCATTCTCTTTTACTCATCAATTCTACTCCTAGGAATTAGTCTGAAGGAGAGATGTATGTATGAGAATAGTGACAAATCAGAAGCGCCTGAAATATCACCAGAAGAAAAGGGTAAATAAATTGTGGAATATTCATGCAACCACTAAAAATGCTACTCTATGTCTATATTTACTGACATAAACAGCATGCATGGGATGGTTCCATTTTTGTAAGTATATATTTATATATGCATAGAAAAAAAGCCTTGAAGGAGAGATTTCAAAATGCCAAACGTGATTTTTCACTCTTTGCCTGTTTTCTGTATTTTATTATTATTATTACTATTATTTATAATGAATATACTTACCTTGTACAGTCAGGAAAAAGAAGGAGCAATGTCTGTTTTTAAAAGCTATTTGTAAGGAATAAATGATGCCATTAAAAACATTTTATAATACATTTAAAAACAACACAAAAGGGTATGGCGAGCTCTGGTGGCACAGTGCCTAAGGCAATTGACTGCTAACCAGAAGGCTGGTGGTTCAAACCCACCAGCCACTCCTTGGAAGGAAGATTGGCAATCTACTGCCGTAGAGATACCACCTGGGAAACTCAAGGAAGGGTAGCTATGAATCGGACCCCACTCCATGGCGGTGAGTTGTTTTTGTTTGTTTGTTTTTTAAGGTAAGTCAGTAAGAATATGGACCAAGACTAAAAGAAAATACAGTGAAAAAAGAAACAGGGAACTGAATGTGTGTGTGTGTGTGTGTGTATTCCCTCCACTCCCCTCAAAATATAACTACAATTCAGAAGAGGCAACTAAATGTCAGAAACCTCAAAGCTTATCTGTCGCTGCCAGTTCCTCTCCCCATTCCACTCTCTTTTTCCCTCTCAGCCTCCAGGAAGCTGGAGACTCTGGACACATGCCTTCTTCCCATAGTGGTTTTATCATGAACCTGAAGAAACAATTGATCCTAATGGCAGCCAGAAATAATAGCTCAATACTCAAAATTAACTGAGACAAAACAAAAATCATTGCCTTTGGAAGACATTCCTCAAAATTCAGTTGGTCAGCATAAAATGACTTGACAGGGCAAGTCAATTCACTCAACAGAATCATTCCCCAAACATTTATTTAAAAACTTAGGTGCCATGTGCTTTATGCATCTGGCAGACAGAGGAAAGTTTTATTTTTGTCTAAAAAGACCTAAGTAGTTGTCATCCAGTCAGTTCTGACTCCTGGAAGCCCTGTTTGTGTCTGAGTAGAACTGTGCTCCACAGGGTTACAATGGCCGGGCTTTCAGAAGTAGGTCCCCAGGTTTTCTTCTAAGGCACCTCTGGGTAGACTAGAGCCTCCGACCTTTTGATCAGCAGCCAGGCACTTAAACCATTCGCACCACCCAGGGGCTCTCCTCCTCTTTATGTAGACTGGCCTTCTCTTTGATGGCATGGACCATTTCATACCCATCATAGTTCACCCTTTTGCTTCAGTACACATAGTAGAGTTCAAGAAATTCTTTTTCTTATTTTTTAATTTTTATTTTTATTGTGATTTGTATGAAAGTTTACAGAGAAAATTCATCTTCCATACTGAAGTTTCCATACACATTTTGTTTCATGACGTTGACTGCAGTCCCCACAATGTAACAGCTCTCTTCCCACTTCCTCTCTGTAGTTACCTCTTCCCTGGTCCTTCTTGCCTGTGCATTCCTGCCCCCTGAGCTATCTCCCTGTACAAATACTGCCCTTCCGTTCTCCCAAGATTGATTTTTCTAAGGAGTGTATCTACCTGGTATAAGTGTTCACCCTATATGCCTATCTATTGTTTGGCTAGAAGCCATGGGAGTGAGTTCAATTCCAGGTCCAAAGGATAATTTAGGTGTCATAGTCTTGGAGTTGAAGAAATTCTTGAATGTTCTGAATTCAATGGTCATGGAAAACAACTCTCGGCAGCTACAGACTTGAAGATCTGTCCATCATTCTAACAGATGGCGGAGACATTTTTTTATTCTCCCCAAAATTGCTGCTGTATTCTTTTCTTGAATAAGACACCCCAGGTATCTGAGAAATGCCAAAAGAGGCCTTTTGGTGACTCCTGCTCTGAGTTACTTAATTATCCAATTAGAATTGTATCTAGACTCCAAGAAAAAGTTGTTGTTGTTGTTATGTGCCGTCGAGTTGGACCCGACTCATAGCAACCCCTCCTGGGGTTTCCGAGGCAGTATCACTACGGAAGTAGATTGCCCCATCTTCCTTCCGAGGAGTGGCTGGTCTTCTGATTAGCAGTCAAGTGCCTTAGGCACTGTGCTACCAGAGCTCCCTCCAAGAAAAAGAGGGCCATTTAATTTCATGTCCTAACCAGTGTGCTGAGTGCAGGACATGCCAGCACCTCTCAGCTAAGGGCCAAGGCATCCATGCTTCAAGGCCACCAGAGTACAATCTGAATCTCCCTAAGGCAAAGGCTTTTAACATGGGATCCACTGATGGGCGTAAGGAAGTAGACAAACACTTCAAAAGTTTATCTAGCAAGTTGCCTGTGAGCCCCCATATCCTTCAGAAATTCAGAGTGGTCCACACCCTAAAAGGGGAACCAATGACCTAAGAGTGTGGACCTTTTTGTCATCAGTGGTTTTTGTGGTCAGATGAGTCTTTAAATTTGCACTCATGGAAGCTCCTCAAATAGAGACACTATGAGAAACACCAGAAACAAGGCTAGTCTTAAGGAAAGGAGAAAATGGTGACAGAAGGAAGTAAGGGACTTTAGGGTTTATCTATCCCAAGGTCAGGCTCAAATGGAGGAATCAGGGACTAAGGAAAAGGCCAGTGAGATCTGTGATCATTCATGGTGACAATGAAGTACTGTATCCTGGGCACAGTGACCACTGTCTCCACCTTCCCTACCCCAAGCTCTACACCTCCATACCTCCTCCATCCCCACTCCCCTATCCCTTGCCACCAGCAGCCTATATCCAAGTCCTTACTATGAAAGAAGGCCCTCATGCATAAGTATGTGGCCAGGTGTCAGGCCTATCAGGAAGGAACCTGCAGATGTGAAACCTTTCTCTTCCCCACTGTCAGGACGCAGACACATCTCTGCACAGGTCAGGAGCATCTCTCAATCCTCTCAAAATAATTCTCAAAATTGTTTGGTGCTTTTTTCCTGCACGTTCACCTAACATTTACTGTAGTTTTCCATTTCATGGAGCCCTGATTTAATTTCACTTTTTTATTTTATTTTTGGTAGCCATGTTTTAATTCAGGCTTTGTGTGCTCTAAAAATATCTTGTCAAGGTATCAAAATAACACTGCAGAATGGCATCCTCAGAACCTTTAGAGCAGTTTTCTGAACGGTCTACTGATATTCAAGAAGAGTCTAATCATGTCAAATTGCTGGGCATCTAATGATTTCCACTGACTCAGGTTGGAAGCTCTTACCTAAGATGGGATTCAGAGAGGTGACCAGTAGAAAACTTCAAAGTCAATTAATGTTGGTCCTGGGAACAATTTTG